CTGCCGGTGACGGCCGTGGCTCCGTGCGTTACCTCACGCCACACAGCAGAGTTCACGTGGGGCGAGCGGTTGTCAGCCAGCCCGGTTCTGCTCCCGCTCGGTGCTACGGAGCCGGTCAGGTTGGAAGAGGCCCTGGAGATGGTCACGTCCCTTCATGAGCCTCACGCTGCCGCGGCAGCGCTGAACCCCGTCCCTATGGGCCGCCGGTGGTTTGCACGCACACATCGGTTTGCTTTCCCCAAGTCAGTTGTGCCCTGCCGTATGGCTAATCGCAGAGTCGTTAAGGTTGGAGAAGACCTCTGAGATCATCAAGTCCAACCATCACCCCATCACCACCACGCCTGCCAAGCCATGTCCCAAAGTGCCCTGTCTACGTGGTTTTTGAACCCCTCCAAGGATGGGGAACCCACCACTGCCCTGGGCAGCCTGTCCCAATGCCTGGCCGCTCTTTCAGTACAGAAATTTTTCCTAATATCCAATCTGAACCTCCCCTGATGCAGCTTGAGGCTTCTCAGGAACTGGAGTTTGCAGGCGCCCCGGCTCAGACAGCACATGTGAGCTTTCTACAGCACAGAGCCTCGGCCCTGCGGCCGTTGATCCTGCTGGGGTTCAAAACGGGCGGTTGTTTCTCTGCGTTCCCTCTGTTGTGAGCCCTGTTATGCTTGCAGAGAGCTGAAGTCCTGGGCGGCTGTGGCACAGCAGGGCAGCAGGCCTGGGCTCGTGCCCAGCGGCGGGCAGGCAGAGGCTGCTGAGGGGCTGGCTGCGATGGGGAGAGATGAAAGCCTGACCATCACTCGCACGTTTGTGTGGGGTGCAACGAGGATCCAGCGCTGAGGCGTGCTTGGTGGCGTGCGGAGGAGCGGCGCAGGGCAGAAGGGGCCGTGAAGAGGTCGATGAGCTTTCCCTCCCCGCGGGGCGTACGAGGTGTTGTGCAACAGACAAAATTGCAGGCTGCTTGCTTGGCTCTAGTCCTGTGCCTGGGAAGCCAAGCAGCTTTTTATTGCTTTCCTAACAATGCAGTTTATTTGCTTCCGCAGTATGTGCGTGCTGCGGTTGTGGAGGTCCCTCGGGGTTTCACCTTTTTTGTTTTTCTTTCTAGCAGAAATCCCCGTCTTTAAAAGAAAGTCTTATTGATTCTTCCAGACTAGAGAAGAAGACAAAAATCAAGATGGCAAAATGGATCAGTTGCATTTTAAACTGGAACTTCCGCTACAGCCTACAGAGCATGTAGTTGGTGTCCAGCTGATTCTACTCTTTTCCTACCAGCTTTACGTGAGCATTTTTAATTTCGCTTGTGACGTACAGACCCAGTGTAATGTGCCAGCAGTGGTTATGCGAAGGATGAAAGAACCTTTCCACGTTTTAAATTCCTACAAGACTTACCTTACTAACCAATATTTACTTTTCTGCTCCACTGCTGGGTCATTCCTAGCCTCACTCTGCTGCATATTTTGATGTGTTTTGTTAGATATTTTTTTTATTTTTGGAGCTGTGTATGTTCTCATGGCTGTTGCGCAGCACAGAGGGCAGAAATGCACAGCGGTGGGTAGCGGCGTGGGTGGCGTCGGGAGGTAACCCGGAGCCTTGCAGTTGGCAGGAGGATGTGCATTTGTGCGTTCTCACACACTGCCGTGTCGTGAGATCACCTGGTGTTTTTGCGAGGTGGAGGGGCAGGCTGCAGCAGCAGCCTGAAACTCCAGAGATTTTGCTTAACAGCTCTTCAAGCAATGGGAATCACCTGCCAGGATCTGCTGCGTCTTGTAACTGGGAGCGGGAAGGTGTTACAGGGAGATGGGAAAATAACATTCTGCTGCCACTGTATCTCAGGTGGCAGGGCAACTAATAGCTAAAGCAGTGAGTAAAGCACTAGTACACAGAGAGCCCATGGATGCATCTGGAAGGAGCAATAGTATAGAGCTGTGTTGGGTGCGGCCACACACGCAAGAAGATGTTTTACAAGGGAGATTAAGCTTTGTTTCCCCGAGGGACTTGGGCCGATTGCAGCTGGGCAAGCTTAGCAAGCGTAGCTGTGTGGTACAGCAAACACTCGTAAACCTCTGAGGCCCGGAGTGGAGGCCCGACAGTCCTACATTCGTGCTGAAGTGTGAGGTCAGTGAGCGGTGTCACAGAGAGCTCCGATATTCACAACATCTTTGTTTGACAGCAAATGTGACATTGTTCCTTCGGCTGGAGTGGTTGATAAGGGCTAAGGAACTTCCTTGTCTGGTCCTTCTTGCAGAGCAGGAGTCCTTCGCTGGCTCTGACTGCCGAGTATTTTAAAATGTGTCTCCCACGAACGTGTTTAGTCATCTTGCTGCTTTTCACATGTTACGGCAGTCAAATCTTCCTGTCGTTAACCACAGACCGTTGGACTTCACTGAATTTCCTGTGGAGCTTTGTTTGGTTTATAAAGTGAGTTAACTAACAACTAAGGTAGTTCACTTAAAAAGAAAGTAATTCCTATTTCTTACTTGGCATTCCCTTGTTTATACTAATGTGGCGATCTGAAATGTAGGAGTCAGAAAGAAATCAAATCCATGCAGAAAATCTGTAGATACAAAGAGGTAGAAAAGTGTGTTGTGTTTCCCCCCTCCCCACCTAAATTCTCTTTTCTCGTGTTCACCGTTTCAGAGAATGTCAACGCTTGTGATGCAGAGTATGGCTTTTCTTCAGTTTTTTTCTCCTGTGCCAGGGTCTCAGCTCTATATGAATGGAGACCTGAAACTGAACCAGAGGCAATTGCTTCACAGCTGTGGACTGGATACCAGATATAATGTGAGGAAACTTTTTTTTCCTTCTCCATGGATTTCCCCCCCTCTTTATCCTTCTAGTACCATAGGTGACACCCTAAGTATTTGTGTTCCTGCACAGAGTGGGCCCTAGAGCTTTGGAACTGGTGTTTTCTTGTAAGGCTGAAAGGTGGAGGAGGTCATTCTGCCAAGATGTTCTACCTGATGTTTATGTGGATTCCTTCAAGAGCATGGTTACTTTGTGTAAGAAATTCAGTAGAATTATCTTCTTGAAGAGTGGACAAATAATGCGCGTGTCTCCTTGTTGTGTCAGGTGTCTGTGGTCAATGGCACAAGTCCTTTTGCGAGCGACTATGATCTAACAAACATCATTGCAGCATACCGGGATAGGAATGGTAAGCCTGAATGTGTTACAGGACAGCAGTAGTTTGCGTATTTGGGATGGAGAGCAGCCCTGCCCAAGAGGACTTGGGGGTACTGGTGGGTGAAAGGCTGGACACAACCCAGCAGTGTGCGCTGGCAGCCCCGAAGGCCAACGTGCCCTGGGCTGCATCCCCAGCAGCGTGGGCACAGGGCGAGGGAGGGGAGGGGCTGTTCAGCCTGGGGAAGAGAAGGCTGCAGGGAGGCCTTACTGTGGCTTTTCAGTACTTAAAAGGGGCTTATGAGAAAGATGGGGACAGACTTTTTAGCAGGGCCTGTTGCGATAGGACAAGGGGTGATGGCTTTAAAGTAAAAGAGAGGAGATTTAGACTGCATATAAGGAAACAATTTTTTACAATAAGGGTGGTGAAACCCTGGCCCAGGTTGCCCAGGGAGGTGGTCGATGCCCCGTCCCTGGGAACATTCCAGGCCAGGTTGGACAGGGCTCTGAGCAACCCGGTCTGGTTGAAGCTGTCCCTGCCCGTGGCAGGGGGCTGGACTGGGTGGCCTCTGAAGGTCCCTTCCAATCCACACCAGTCTGTGATTCTGTGGTGTTGGCAGCTGTTCTGTGAGGGTTTGGGTTCTGTTTTAAGACTGGAAGGCCCCTTAACCTGGGTGTTTCCTTTCCCCATTTTAGTGACAACAGTCTTTTCAGACCCCAGCCCTGTTTGGATGACTGGAAGAGCACCAGATACACCATTTATCATTAATGCCACTATTCGTTATCCAGTGGAAGTTATCTTATATCCTTTGAAAACTGCATAAACTGTGGCAGGAGTGGGTTGCATTATTTGGGCCTTCACATACAGACCAAATGAAAACTGTCTCCTCCTAGACTTGTTGCTAAACTTCTCCTTTGCTAGCTAAGCCGGTGCTGTAGTTCTGGAGTTAGCAGAGTTGACCGAATACCCAGCTGCCCGTTGTTCCAGATGGTTCTGTTGTGTAGCGACTTCTTTCCTTTCTCCCATGGCAACCTGTGCTGCTTTTCAGCCTTACGAAACCGGCCCGTGAGGCAGCTCCTTAGCTGTTCGCAGTGCGCACCCTTAGTAAGCCGTGCTTTGGTCCTGCGGCACCTGCTGTCCCAGTCTGTCGTGGACGCCGCCAGCAAAGCAGGATACTGTATTCTGTGACCTAAAGCAAATCATTGAACCTGTATGCAAGGTGAGCTCACCAGATGATAACCGCTGCAGTGGATGTGGCAAATCTGTTATGTCTGCAGACAGACCTGATTTTTTTTTCCCCCCCCTACAAAACCAGTCTTTGTTCATTACGTTCTTTACTCATTTTCTCAGACAAGGACAAGCCTGTGTTTAAAATAATCCATGTGGAACAAATTTCTCACAAGGTTTGTTTACCTGCCTGCGTGTTACCAGTAACTGCTTTCTGGTGAGTCAGGGATGAAACCGGCACTTTCCGCAGAATTGGCTTAAATGTCTTCTGGGACAGACGTTGCCTGCAGCTTTGGTTACCTGCTGCGGCAGAAGGCTGACAGGGTTTCCGCGGCTCAAAGGCTTCGCGTTTGCCACACAAAGTGATGTCTCTGTGCCTTTCTGCCTCTGCGCTCCTCTGCTTATTGCAGTGGTAGTACCAGAAGCTTCTTCGTTAACGCTCCTTGACTTTTTTTTAAATATCAGCCAGGATTTTGGGAAGTGATTAAATTTGCCTGGATCCAGTATGTCAGCATTCTCCTTATCTTTCTTTGGGTGTTTGGTAGGATTAAAATGTTTCTGTTCCAGAATCAGGTGTTGACTACCACTCCGATATCACCAGTTCTGCCTGTGTCTCCAGTACTGTCCTACAAACACCACCAGTCCTGAGGAGACGCCCGAGAACGCTTCAGAGAAACGCAGGTCAAAACCAGATACCTGCTTTTATTCGCTATGCACTTTTTACTGTGGAAATTCAGAACTTTGTAAGTATGTTCCAAGTGTGTTCTGTTCATGCTTCCATTTTCAAATACACGTTCATCCATCTGTTTCTCTGGGAACACTGCTTTGGCACTGAAAATTTTAATATTTTTGACAGTTAAAGAAGAACCCAGTTATTTTATTTTTTTTTTCTTTTGCAACCGGGACACACTTCAAAAACCAGTGGAAGGCAATGAGACTGCTTTTGCATGATCTTAATTTTGCTAAACCTCAAAGACTGAAAATGATATGCTAACAGTAACAATAAAAGCCATTTTTACTGTCTTGTAAATCAGTTCCCTGCGGAGTTAGAGTTCTGTCAACAGCAGTTTGTACAGCATTTGTGTGCACGAAAGGAAAAAAGTGTAAGGAACGTGGGAAAGATGTGTGGACGAGTGAAGGTCAGTTCAGGTTAGGTGCTCACCGGTTTCGTTACTGGGTGGGGTGTCGGATAGATCCAAGGCTGGCGCGAGGAGCGGGGTGATGGCTCGCACAGCCGCCTGCCATCGG